TGTATCTGTATCTGTATCTGTATCTGTATCTGTATCTGTATCTGTATCTATATTTCTATCTGTACGTCTATGCTCATTTATTCATGTTTTGTATGCTGGCTTAGGTAAATATGTGATTTCTCCACCGCCAAACGAATTGCGCCCTATTCAGTTGTCCAAATTAATTGGTCGTTTTGGAGGATCCATTAGGGCGCCAAATTGGAATTTATTGCGCAGATTTGTAAGTCGCCAGCGCCCAACACGTGTGCGTCGGCCTGAAAAGAAAACAAAGCAAAATAATAATATAAAGTTGAATAAAAAACAAAAACAAAATTTGGCAGTCGGACAAGAGCAACAACAATGGCGTAATGGGCTAATTAGCCGTATCGGAGGAAGGGCAAGGGAACTCGACCCAGGCATCCGCTGTGCCTCAACAATAAGTCAGCAAAGTGTTACAAATATCGCACTTAAGGGCCCCAAAAATAAGTCGACCGACAAATTCAAAAGACGAACCGCTAATTAATCAAGGGAAATATGGAAAGAAACAACAACTAAACAAACCCTATGCAAATACATGTTCATATTTCATATGCGTATCCGTGAGATACGTTACAGTCAGTCAGCTGGCTAGCCACTCCGGTGCTCAGCCCCTGGCCAAGACGCGACGAACGAATGCAAATGCTACCCCAGCCATTCGAAACTCTAAGTTCAGAACGTGCGTGCCTTCAGAGGCAATAACAACAAGAGAGAACCAACAATTAAATTTATGTAACTTCGCTCCGTACCAGCGCTAAGTAATGTCAATGTTTCCAGCTGCCATAATCATAACTTACGACAAAGGTCACACATAGTCATAGCCACAGCCATAGCCATAGCCATAGACGTGGCCATAGACGTGGCCACAGACCAAGCCAAAGACCGGGCCATAGTCATAGACCAAATCAGCTGGCTGCAAACTGCCGCACAGTGGCACAAATACATAAAAGTAAAGTGAAAATATGTTATACCAAACACATATTTAAGTGGAGTATAAGACTTAGCATATTACTTAAAGATTTACTTTATGTGTAGTCGTAGATAAAAGTAAATTTACCGTTTAATTAATTGTTAGAAAAGTATTACTTGATATTCTTTAAGATTGTTATTTTGTATCTTTTTGTTTAGTATTAGACTTTGAATTATTAAATTTTTCAAATAAAATATAAATATTTTTAACTCAATATCTTCTGCTCATATTTTATGCTCTCTATTATTTATTCCTAAAATTAATTTGAATTAATCGCTCATAATTTTTGATTCCATAATTTTTTTTCTTAGTTTATATGTGGAATAAAAACTAATAGCTAGAAAAATTACATATAAATAATGTTTGTTTTTATTTGATTTTTAAACTAAAATTAAATTTAAGAAAAATACTGTAGTGTATTTAGAGTAATAATAATTTCATTTATTTAAGTCAAACAAAATAAAATAAACACAACTAACAGCATTTGCAAGTTAAATATTTTTTTTTTTTTAATTTTCATTATTATTTTGTTTTTTATACATTTCACACATATATTTTCTTTACCCATTTTCTAGAGTAAACTATAAAATACTTATGGCATTTAAGTGGCATATATAAATAATTACACGTATACTCAACAGCTTACTCCACTGTGCCAGCCGGGGAGGAAGAGGGGGAGGAGGAGGAGGCAACCCGCCTAGGAAGCAGAAAAAATAATAATACACATACGCCTGTGCCTATGCGTGATTATTTTGCGCCTCGAAAGCGCGGAAAAATGTTAATTAAATGATATTCCCAGCTAGGCGCTATCAAATAGTCAAAAACAAAACGTGGAAGTGGCAAAGCCTCAAAATGTAACCAGCGTTGGGTATTTGGTGGTTGGTGGCTGGCGGCTGGCGGCCGGCGGTTGGCGGCTTAGTGGTTGCTGGCCAGTGTCCGGTGGCTGGCCGGAAAAGTGGCTCGAATTATGCATTACCAAAGGTATTTTTTGGCGGGCCACGCATATATTAGCGCTCAGATAGCGATCGGTGGCCCGGGTCACATGATTTTGCATATCGGACAGCAAAACAACGCAGGAGAGTGGAAAACGGGTCGGGCAGGTGGGGAGAAGGGGGCGACGAAGTGAGTGACGACTGACAGCGCTGCGAATAGGCAAGACTCACGCATAGTGCCAGGTAAATAGCCTCGGCAACAGCAGCAGCAGCAGCAGCAGGTGATGGAGCTGCCAAAAAAAAAAGAAAAACGAAAAAAAAAATCGTGGGCGGGGCAGTTAGTTTTCCCGCTGGCTTTTCCCGCGACCGCTTCACACGTCAACGCACCAAAGCCGAAAATTAGTTAACATATTTCGTTGTTTTTTGTTTTTCGTTTCATTTTCCACTCTTGTTTCCATAAATATTTGCATTTGCCCTACAGCTGCGCTCGAGTCCATGGCCCAGGGCCAAAAGTAACGGTCAACGGTGCTTGGGCAGGTAAAAAATGGTCTTTTATAGAGAACTGAATTCATTAGGAGCTCAGGAAGTATTACGGAATCTAAACACATTTTGTAGGCTGCTTGATTGATTGATTGATTGATTGTTCTTCAGTTTGATTGTTTAGCCAGGATTTTCTCAATTCTCACTTAATGATCTTCCTGACATTTGCCACAGACATAGACTGAGCATCCATCGCTCCCTCTCCCAGCCTTCGGACATTTATCTTAATTGATGTGTGTGTGATGTCGGGACAGCTCTCGCGCTCTCTGTACAGCCAGGAAGTGTCTTCATTAGGCAACTGCTTAATGAAAACAAATTATTAATTATGCCCAGAGCTGCCACAGCAAATGGCCAATATATCTCCCTTAAAATTTACTTTAGAATTGTTGAAGTTCTTGCATGTATATAATAACCGAGGAGCACTTAATTGATATATCAAATGGGATGTATGTGTATATTGAGATATATATTCATTGTAGACCTCGAATTGTAATTGAAAATTTGAAGTTACATAATTTGTCAATCTTAACTCGATGTTATTTGGGATATTTGGTGGCTCCTATTCCATATATTTATTACAAGCATTTATAAAGCACCTCATAGGTGCTGACAAGTTTTTATATCTTTAATTAATAATTGAATTAATATAAGAAATTAAAGTTCAAACTAAAGTTTATATTGGACGAAAAATTTACTTAACTTTGTGTTATTTATTTTTTAAAAAGCTATACAGCTTTACTTGAACATTTAAATACCTTTTCAAATTTTTTATATTTAAAAATTTTTTTAAAATGAGTTTCACAAAAATTTATTATATTAAATTAAATTTGAAAAAAATTAAGAAACATTTTTACATTTTTTTTGTTCGTCTAATCCGTAATATTATTATTTTTTGTAAAAAATTTATTTAACAAAAAATATATATATTTACTATTTTAATAATGGCTTGGAACTTTGTTTGTATATTCAAAAAGAGGCAAATATTTTTTATATGTATATATAGTTGTATTCATTTTTTATTTAATCAGATTTAGGCATTTATTATGCTTTGCTCTTAAAATGTTAAACATATAACGTGTATGCAATATTAAAATTATAATAAATAATATAATTAATTAATAAATACAAAAACTATTTCTTACATTCATTTATATTCCAGTATACAAATATACTTATAAAGTACTTGTGCTCTGCTCTCTTTCTCTCTCTCTCTCTCTCTCTCTCTCTCACCATCTCTCTTAATTCACACAGAAATATTGATTCCTATTTACTCAGTTATTATGTGACGTATATGCCTCAATTAGTTGAATTTCTTCAGTATTTATAGTTTTCGGTTTTCATATACATATATATATATTTTTTTTTCTCAAGTTGGGCAAAGTTTTAATGCCCAAATGCTGTGGTGACTATAGGGTATTTGAGCGAACCAGCTAATTTGCCAAATTTATTTCTTCTTTCTTTCTTTCTATAACAATCAAGTTTTTCCGACTCCCCTCCCTCCTCTGTCTCTTTCTTTCTCTCGCATCTGCCTCTACTCCACGCTAATATCATATTTTGTGGGCGTGGCTGGCTGTGTTGGCCCATCTAATAATCCACATTCGTTACAAACATTTCAACTTTTCCGGCCAAGTTGTTGACTGACAGGGGGTGTTGGTTGTTGTTGCTGTTGTTGTTGTAGTTGTTGTTGCTGTTATTACTATTGTTGCTGTTGTTGTTGTTGTTACTTTTTTGGCTGTGGCATTTTCAATTGTTGCTAATGAGTGCCACAAATTAATTAGGTTACTTCGTTGAGCTGACGTCAAGTTTTTCCCTCTGTTTGTGTGTGTGTGTGTGTGTGTGTGTGTGTATGAGGGTTGGAGTGGGGTTCTTGTTGGGGCTGATGTTAAGTAGTGATAGTTGCTGCAAATTAGCATAAATTTCTTTCTCTTTCTTTATGCTCTCTTTCTTTTTCTGTCTCTCTCTCTCTCTCTCTCGGTTCGCACGGAAAATTGAGCAATTTTCCAACGTTTTTGCGCCGAGTTGGGTGCGTGAGGTGGAAAATGTGCGCGATTGCGCCCAAATTATTAATAACCAAAATCTCTTATCTAGCAATGGTAAATATTTGCATGGCAACTGCCACGCCCCTCAGCATACTATAGCCAAGTATATTTTCCACTCCCCGACGATCTTATCCGGCTGCCTAATCATTGTACTACTGTGGATGACAAGCATATAAATAATGCAAGAGATTTTCATGTGAGATATACAGAGAGACAGAGAAAGAGAGCGGAAGAGTGAGGATAGACGGTGTCGAAATTAATTTCATTAAATGTAGGGCAAAAGGGGTTTAGTGGGCCTATATATGTTGGCCAACCACATGATTCAGCAATAAATCGAGACTTTAACAAAATTTAATTACAAATTTATTTGGCTTTATAAAAGAAGTGAAAAGTGAAAATATTGGAGCCTAGTTTACAAGTGGAAATTGCGATAACAGAACGAAATTTCATACATACATTTTGGTATGTACATATATGGTAAATACATAATGTATTTACATATATTGATTGAATAATTAAATATTCAATGTTATACTGAATTTAGCTACAATCAAATGTGAGGGTTGTGTTCTCCCCTAGAATGTCTGAATAAAAAATCTTTAAGTAGCATTAACTTACAAATATCATCATATATGTTACGAATCGATCTAGGTTACAAATTTATTTCTTGAGGCTCTTCTATTTTCAAACGCTCTAAATTGATGTGTGAAGAAAATATATCAATAAATTTTGTCATACATATATATAGTTTAATAAAATTATACTATATTATACAAATTATTTATATACATAAATTTTAAACTAATTATTATATTTTATTTTTTTATAAATCGTTTTAATTATTTAAGATTATATACTACTTTCTGTTTTAATATTGTATTTTATTTTATATGGGATCTTAATTTTTTTATTTTTTATAATTATTTTTTAATTTTTTATTAAATCATTATACATTTTTAGTTTATTATAGTATTACATTACATATTGTAATGAAGAAATTTAAAATTTTATTAAACTAAATAAAGTTAATAATGAATAAATTGTCGTCAGCTCATATAAAAAATAAAATATGAAAATAAAGTCTATGGCCCACCTCAATTTAACTTTGATATTGATGAAAACCCAAAACGATTTGCAGAGGCCATTGGAAAACATAAAGCAGGATTTCCTTTAAATTCTTATCAGCAGCCGAAGTCAGGCGCAGCATCAAAGATAAGAGAGATGGGAGAGCGAATTGGGGAAAGCAAAACTCGAGAAAACGGAGGAAACGCAGTAAAGGTGAAAGTTAAAAATCGTTCGTGACTTTTGCCGAGAGCTGGCGGGAGTTTATAAGAACATATCGTGCATTTATTATTTTTTGGGCAAATAGTGGGGATTATTAGGGCTTAGGCAGACAGGCAAGCACACCCTCACACACACACACACACACACACACACACACACACACACACACACACACACACACAC